TCACCAATCCAATGTTGTATATATTTTGCTGCATGTTTACGGCACAGCAAAACTCAACATACACTTGTCGTCTACAGAACATTACATCGGCAGCACCATACACACATTACATGATCGACAGAACACCCGACACCGCAAGCTGAAACAATTACAAAACGGTCAACCAGTATCGTGTGAGCTTGCATTGCATTGGTTCTGTAGCCAAGGCAACTACTATCAGTTTGTACCACTCCCGTTATTAACAACCTCGTCACAACTGCAAACACGAACACTGGAAAGTTACATGATCCAGCTTTGGTGCCCACCACTCAACTATCCACTCATAATGCAACGCAAGGTCACTAAACAACATTCAACACCACACTTGCGACAAGCAATCGCCAACACATTCCTAGGACATGGCCAGCGACTGTATGCGCGACTCCGCCGCCGCATGATGTACAAGCAAGTATTCCACTTTTACAACCACAACCTGTCCAAACACACCACTGCCTGGCTTCAACTACACGTACTCGCGGAACAAAGCCAACGGTCGTTTGACATGCAAAAGTTTATCCGTTCCAACAACACACACTCAGATCACCTATTTGCACTCTACAAACTTTCGAACAACATGGAAGATCCACCAAGAACAAGAGTTCGCAGTTTGATCAAATCAGCTATTCAATTTCGACAACTACCACTACCGCCAAGTCCTAGACCACTGATACTGCCTCTACTGAGCCACAAAACATTCAGTCACCAAACACGCCACTGGCTTCGGCAGATAGCCATTCAACACAAACAATGGCTACCACCTTTTCACATTCCAAAATGCAACATTACGGCAGGAAAGCATACCACCATGCAACAAGCCCTTTTCAGCCACTTTTCCTGGATGAAGAAATTCACCTGGAACGAACCTCCACCATGTTCTTGCCAACAACTTTTTGCAAAACACCCACGGCTTACCAGCACTACAATATGTGATCAACCACATATTGCCAGTCCTGCTGCAAACCTGAATGTCCCAGCACGACTCGCAAATTTCTTAGCCACGCATGCTGGCACACAAGTGTACCCTACAAAACACCACTACTGTCAACAAACTTGGCCCAAACTACAACGCTGGCTGCAACATTACAACATTAACACAATCACGTATGCAGACTGGCAGAGTTACATTGAACAACAGTGGCCACAGCACTTGCAGCAATCCAAACAATGGATTGGGCACAGCGACATTCAATACCTCAGAAAGATTATGCAACAGTTTGTGGTTCACTGTCGCGACCATGCTGCTACAGCCATTTTTGTGTATTGTCCTTTTCTCTACTGGACAGTCCTCAAGAAAACATTTGGAGATTCATCGGTGTACACCCACCTCACTTTGACACCACCACAAGCAACACAATACCTACAACAGCTTACACATCAACCCTGGCTTCAAAAATACAAATGGGCATACAACACCAACAGCGACTGCCCAACAGCCTACATACTATTGAAGCAGAAAAAACAATTCCTTGCCGCCAGGCCCATCATCAACTATCGTGGTTTTGTTTTTGAGAAGCTTCTCAAAGCCACAGCCATCGTTCTACAGCAGATGCTTCAAGCCTGCATGTCCAAGACGTTTGGACTACAATCACTCCAGCAAATTTTCTATACACTCCACACTTTCTTTCACAATGCGCCAGCAGACCTGGACCTTGCCATTTACAACCAAGATTTGGCAGGGTTTTTTACATCCATACCAGCAGACCGCATCCTTCACGCACTTGCCAAGCTGTTGAAGCAATATCAACAACAACACCCACATGTAAATAACGACACTGTTTTCACAGTGGACATGCAACAGCCAGACACCACACTACGACTTTTTCGAGGACGGCCTCGTCGAGCTGCAATGACAAAACGACAGATCAGGTTTGGAGACATTTACAACATATGCAGTTTGTCTCTCCAGGCATCAATTTTTTCACAGCTCCAGCAAACATTTCAGCAAATTCGCGGCAGCGCAATTGGCAACCAAATCAGCCCAGTCCTGGCAAACATCACGGTCAGTCTGACCGAGCAAGATTGGCTAAACCGACCACAGGTACAACAATATCTTCACACACACTCAAACAGAATACTGATCACACGATACGTTGACAACAGGCTTGTACTCATTGACCAATCCCAACAGCACCACGCAATCATCCAACCATTCTTACAAGACACCTTTTACCAAGAACCGGTCATCCTTGAGGATGAACCAGACAATTCCTTTTTGGGCTGCACTATTGAATTACAAAAACATACATTGTCTTACATTCAACCAAACAATGCTTGGCAGTTTCAATCTTTTGGCTCTGCAGCTTCCACACAACACAAGCTCTCTGCCGCATACAGCCGCATCTGCCTAGCAGCAAGACACAGCCACCCATACAAGCAAGCACAGCATGATGTTGAGTTTTTAATTCAATCGTATGTTTCACTTGGTTATCCGTACAAGCCATTACGCGCTATGGCAGCCAGAATGTTGAGCATCCGGCGGTAAGTTTTCCACATGAATATTTCTATGATTGATGGTCTTTAATGCTTCGCTGTTCCAACACAAACAACCTATTGTTTTGTATTGCAATTAAGCAAACAAGGTGCTCACCTGAATTGGCATGAGGGGTGACATTTCAATTTACTTAGTCTGAGCAACAGGCGTGCCTAAGAGGGGTGGAAAAGCATGTGCCCATACTGGGCTTGTTGTGTGTGCCGACCCCTGAATCAAAGGGAATGTTATGTTGATTAGTTCAGTTCAGACTACATGTTCTAGATAGCTGGCACGAAGAAACCCACTGCACCGTGAGGCATCTTGCGAAATCGCGGAGAGTGGTTCGACCGTAGATTTACGAACTTGCAAGTGTATCGAAAAACATCATAACAGCTGAGCATGTTCAACCCAGTTCGCAGCAGTCTTTGCATGTATGTTAGTATAAGATCCGAAAGGTCAGTGCCCAGCATTGCCTTGGTGACCTGGTAAGTTTGATGATTGTCCTATCACGCGCCACCAGCATGTTTCTTCCTCAATCCGTGGATTTGCGTGTCTTGTGAGTGAGTGTATGTGCTGAACCCTGAATCAAAGAGAATGTTCTGGTGATTAGTTTGGTTGGGACCACATGTTCAAGGTAACTAGCGCGAAGAAGTCCATGTTGCATATAAGTTCCAATCCGACACATCTGTGCATCTTCAAGCGTGCAGCACATGGGTTTCGATCGTTCGTTTTGAATTAGCATACCAACGAGCAGGGGCATTGGGCACTCCTTGGCAAACCCAATGCAATGAAGCTATGCCTTGGAGTGGGATGCACGGTCTGATCAACCGTGTGTACCTGCAGTAATCTCAGTATGGCAACTGGGCAAAGCCAAAAACCCAGCATGAGGAAACATGAATTTTCATTTCATCTCACTTCATCGTCTCCCTTCGGGGTGTTTCTAAGTGTGTGTGTGTGTGTTTTTTTTCCACGCTCCTTTTCTGATGACAGATCCGGCGCACGCCGTCAGCACTGGCATTGTGACCAGGCCGGTTCTCAGCTGTTGTGAGAAACTTGTTGGACCCCCTACGGCTGCTGCGTCATGGGCACAAGTGGGAAAAGTGCCATGACTCATTGTTGGAAAGAAGAGATGGCAGCCTACCATGTACGGACATGGGCATGTCTGAGCAGCTGGCGATAAAAACGCGCCAGTGCATGGGCTATCGCCTCGTTGGGCAGAGTGAAACCTGGACTATTGTTTTTTTTTTGGACTTCTTTTGGTGGTCCTTTTTTTTTTTTTTGGGCTTCTTTTCGTGGCCCTGGAGAACTGGGGGTACACACTGGGTTTCAGTGGGCATGTAAAAGGAAGGGGATCTACCAGCGGGGAGCTGGGTGCATTCAGGGTCGGCAACTGGTGTTAGCCTTCATCAGAAGGGCTCAGAAGTCCGCCAAGGAATCCGTACAAAAGTTTTTTGTTTTTTTTTTGTTTTTCTTCGTCCAGGTTTCAGACTGCGCTGGTTTTCGGTTGGCTTTGGCTCTCCTCGAGGACAAACGGTTGATGCATCTATCGGATTGGGAAATCGCCGGCTAGGCTGTTCGGGTTGGCAAAATGCCTGTTCGGATGTTGCCAAAATGGCGCAAGGTCGGAAGCACCGGCTAGGCTCTCATTTGTCAGGACACCTCTGGGCACGACCCACGTAGGGAGTAGGCCGACTTTGGGTGTCAATGGTGAAACAGTGCTATGCCTCCAATTTTTTTTTATTTTTTTTGGACTTCTTTTGGTGGTCCTCTTTTTTTTTTGGACTTCTTTTGGTGGTCCTTTTTTTTTGTGCTGGGGATACCTACGGTACACTCCAGGGCACTGGAGGGCTTATGTGCAGGTGAAGCATATGCCAATGTGGTCATGGCTGTTGCAGGAGTTTCAATAGCTGGTCCTGGTTCTGAGCATGTCCGGGGGGAGTGGTTAGCAAATCCTCTTCCCATGCATGCAGGTCTATGAGATCCTGGCGGCAAAGCCAGATGCATGTCACTCCCTCTTGGAATTGGTGAGGAAGCATTCGGCATGGCCGTGGCGGTCTGTCATCATCACAGTGCAGCCAGTAGGTGTCGGCGTCTGGATGCCGTATGCTGGGCTGGGTGCGCAGCAGGGCCTGGTAATGTCCTGTGGCTGCATCTCCTTGGTGTGCAAACGCCGCAGTCATTTGATATCGTTCCCATGTGCAGTCCAGTCCATCATCTGTAAAAACGGGCACGTCAATGGGCCCTCCGAAAAACACCGGAGTATCTGTCTTGCGCACTCTGCCATGACCCTCATAGATGAATCGGTCCACGTGGACACACAGGACTTCTGGGGCTTGCAGCAGGCCAGCATACATGCCCAGGTCGTTGTGCCATCGCCTCAGCATGTCGGTCAGGCGTGCAATACCATCTGTGCTGTGTGAAGGGTCAAGTTGCAACGTGAGTGGTTGATACCTGTCACCTTGGTCATGTACCCGCACGCATTCATTTTCCATCAGCCTGCGTTGCCAGTGGCAGCTAAGGAAGGATGGTGCAACCCATTGCAACAGCATGCTTGTGAACTCTGCTGAATCTGCTTGGCCTCGATTTTCATCCCAATTCTGGGTAATGCCCTGAAACCAGGTTGTGCATCCAAATTAAAAGGCTGAGGCCTGAGTTCCAGCAGGAGATCACGAAACAAGTCATGTTGGCGTCCCCAATCTGTCAGGGTGAATGTGTCTCTACTCAGTCCTGACCACAAAAAGCATGTGAAGGCACTGTTGGCGTAGCACATGTGGCCCGTGTTGCCAAGGGTCATTCTGGCTACTTCCCGTCGGAGTGAAGCACGAAGTTGCTGGACTATTTGGTCTTGGTCTTCGACTTCCCTTTGCCGCGTCCTTTGTTCGGTGTCCCCTGCATGTTGGTCAGCTGATCCAGTAACTGCGCTGGTTTGCTGACCCGTTGGTTGTGCTGCTTGAGACTCAGGCCCAGGAGTCCCCACAGGGTGGACTGACTCAGCTGGTGGAACAGTCGCCACAGGTCGTCCTCGCGCAGGTTGATCTGGAGCATCCAGGGAACCACATTGGCTTGAGGTCTCAGTGAATGGAAGCGCATCACATGATCGTTGTCGGTCAGGAGCTCCACCATGAACTGGAGGTCCTTCAGGATGCGGCTCATGGGCAGCGGTGCCCGATGAGACTTGGTGAGCTTCTTCTCTGTGTGGCACCACTGTTGGAACGGCCACGACCCGTCCTGGAGAATCACTCCTTTGGTGACTGCCACGTCCCACAGTTGGGTCCCCTGTGTGCTCTGAGACAACTTGATGGCCCTCTGTTGTAGCTCCAGGATCAGGTGCTTCAGCAGGAAGGTGCGGAGGGTGGTGGTCTTCTCCGTCATGTCCTTCCACTCTTTGGCCTTCGACGTCAGCAGTGGGAGGGCTCCTTCCGCGCTGACTTGGGCAAAGATAACGAAGGAGTCCTGTCTGCGATCCATCTGGATGGCCCGATCGTGTTGCAGGACCACCTTGGCCAGGTGATGGATCAGTGTGAGCAGGGCCTTGTTCTGGGGGTTGTGTGGCTGAGCGGCCTTGTCTGCGCCGACGGGTTCCTGCTTGAGCTTCTTGTTCAGTGGCTCTTCGTCTTTTTCCCGCATGTACTGGCTCGCCTGCATCAGAAGGGGTCCCAGATGTTGGAAAGACTGCAGGAGCTCCGTATCCGACTGGTCGAGCATCAGCTGATCGTCCATGGAGTGGCTGCAACACAAGGGCAATTTGCTGGAGGACGGGGCAGTTCGAGGCAAAATGGATCTGCAGTTGTTCAGCACGTTCAGTTGCTGCGTCTGGGTCAACCGTGCTGTCATTGAAAAACAGTTTGCAGAATTTGCACTGATAGTCTTGTGGCTGTTCCGTCTGCATGCATTGTACCAGTTGAAACTTGAGCTGGGCCGCCCACACACAAGCATCATGATGATGGGTCAGTTGGTGAGTCATCAGAGCCGCTGTATGAAACCAGGCGCCACATAGCGTGCACCAATGCCTGAACAGTTGCAAGAGTGCAGGGGCATGCCAAAGATGGCTGAAGTCTCGGTCCAGCACCACATTTAACAGCATCTGAAATCTTGCATGATTTTCCAGTGCACGATGTGTGAGTCGCAATGTCTGCTCGTTGTACTGCTGCGGTATGAACATCTCAGTTTCACTGGTGTAGAAAATCATGGCCATTTGTCGAACTCCTGGGCAGATGTGGGTTCGACTGTCATCATTGACCGTTGGATTGCACATGCATCCGCGGCTGCTGATCAATGTCTGAAGCAGGTACCTGACTAGGTCATTGGATCGTTGCCAAAGCTGTCCATGCGCCTGTTGGAGATGCGCGTTGAGATCATTGGAACGCACATAGATCTCGCCGCATAGCTGGCAATGCAGCGTCAACTGTAAGCGCTGGTGAGCTGAAAGATGTTGTTTGTCCAAAAACCCAAGTGTCAGCTGAGTGCGCCACTTCTCTGCCGCATTGAGTGGGTGGTTTGTCGCAGTCGGATCGAAAAACTCACATTTGCCAGTGATTATGTGAGTTCTCAAGCCATCACGTGAGGTGAATGGTTGGCCACAGTGAGAGCATGCTGTGGAGCCAGGTACTGAGTCCCTGGCAACATTCCAGTCGAAGACAGTCACCTCATGTTCCGCCTTCAAATGGCGGTGCAGGCTCTGAAGGTCATCGCATCTGGTTTGGCACAGCTCACACCTGAGAACCCGGTCAACATCCACATCTGAAGTCTGGCAGTGCAGTAGCAGCGCAGCTATCTGGGTGAACACTGTGCACGTGTGGCCGTGCATGAACTCCCTTTGGCAAAGCACACATGGGCTGGGGGACCTCAGTACCTTGGTCAGCTGGGCGCTTTTTGCAAAAATGCCTGTCACCACATCAGAGTGGTGGAGCCGATAATGGCCATGTAATTCCTGGCAGCGATTGTTCCATATGCCGCAGATCATACAGGTGTGAGTCAGGTATTGGCCAATGGCAGGATTTTCCTGTAGTTGATGCCATGTCTGATCTCGGATGATCTGCTTCAGTGTCGGCCAAAATGGCTGGGTGGTGATTAAAAAGCTATTCCGTTCTGCTCGGTTGCCACTGATCACTGGGTCTGCAGGTGCAGCTTGGCTGGATGCTGCAGGGGCCTGGCAGCATGCTCTTTCCACATGGATGAGGAAACTGCGCCAAGTAGTAAACTGTTTATGACAGTGTTTGCATTGAGCTCTGCCATGAAGTGACATGTCAAGAATGGTGTTTGGGGTGGTACGGTGTTGTGGCAAGTTATGTGCAATGGTATGATGTCTTCTGAGATTAGGAATGGAGTTGGTAATGAAACTGCAGTGTGAGCAAGTATACTGCACCTGTGGTGTCGTCATCAATGCATCACCATCGATGGGGACGTCCGGCATGCTGTGGTGTACCTGGTCAATCAAATGCATTGTATCTTGATGATGTTGCCAGTCGACCTGCTGTAAGAAGTCTGTTGGGTCCAGTTGTAAAGCACGCCTCTGGAGTCGCAGCCATAGTTTCTCCGCGCCATGCCGCAAGAGCTGCAATGGGAGTGGAAGAGACTGGTTTTGTATTGCCCTCTGGTGAGTGTGCCCTGTCATGTAGGAGTGGTCACCGATCAAAATTCGAATCATTTGGAACACTGTGAGTTGGTAATCAGTTAGTGACTGCACCGTGACTCCTGTACCAAAAATTCCATACACAAGGATTGTATGTACGCAGGTGTGCCACAAATACATTCGATGAGATTGTCGAATTTGTCTGTGACGGAGCCAACGTTTGAGGCGAGCATATGCAATCCAGGCAGTCTTCTTGCGATGAAGCCACGTCTGCTGTTCAAATGCATGATAGGAAACAATCACTCCCAGGTAACGTCCCATGGTTTTCAACGGCAACGCCGTAGGCTCTCCAGTGCGACGGGGCAGCAACAGGTGTGCTTGATTCTGCAGGTAGCACATTCGGCCCTTGAGGGCATGCCGCACGTTGCTGCCAGTGTGGGAAAAAATCAAATAAGACTTTTGCAAAGAGATCTGCAGTTGGAGGCGTTCTATGCAATCAAGCAAGTGACCCATGCATTGCAAATGATGATCCAGCTCACCAACGGTCAGAAACTGGCAGCCTACATGCAGGTCGTCCGCATACAGTGTCAGGCATTGACGGATCCAGGCTTCTCCAGTCAGTGGTGTGAGGAGCCATAACAGTTTGTTCATGTAAGCCAACCATAACAACGGAGCAATTTTACATCCTTGTCGAAGGCCAACACCTACTTGTACGGAGTCCGTGTTTTGTTGAAAGGGTAAATTGTAATGTGTGTTTTCATGCCAACAAGTGATAAGGGTAAGTAAAGCATGGGGGGTGTTCAGTTCGTGGAGATGTTCAATGAGAATGGCTCTGTCAACACAGTCAAACGCACGGGTCAAGTCGAGCAATAACTGTACACCACCCAGTATGGTCGACCTGGGTGGGGATCGCATTTGCTGTTGGACCGACCGTCTGTGGTTGCCGACCAGCGTTCTGATTTGCCGGCAGTGGCTACTGACCCTGGCAATTGCATCTGCAGCTGATCTCATATGTAGGAATCCAAAATGGGGGGACTGACAAAGTCTGTGGGAAAGATGACATTTCAATTGATAAGTCAGGAGTCCCATCACCAGTTTCCCCAAAGGTTCCATGAGGGATATTGGTCTGAGTTGGTCGGGACGCCCGCATGATTTGCCTGGTTTTGGGATAAAATAGATCCAAGAGTCCTTCCAACTTCTGGGTATAAATGGGGGGTATTGACCCCACCAAATATTCAGGGTTCTGTGAATGAAATCAGCAACCTGCAAACTGGAGCCTTTCCAAACGGTGGCTGGCAAAAAAGGCATTGCCGCTGCTTTGTGCGGGTGCAGGTTGTGCAGTGCAACGCAGAGATCTGAAATGGAAAACGGCACTCCCGGGGCTTCATCACTGAAATGTGGTAAGCTTGATGGTCCCTGCCATGTGGTGCGGACGTATGCAACTGTCAAGGAATGCGCTGTGTACTGATCTGCAATCTTGCCCTCAGGTGTACGCAGTCTGGGCTTGGCACATGATTTTTTGGGGGTGAATTTGTTCAGTATAGTGAACATGCCATGTGCATCATGTCTGTCAGCCGCTTGTTGAACCTGTTGGCACAAATCATGAAAGCGTCTGGCCCTAGCCTGTCTGGCTTCTTTCTGGTGGGCTCGCTGTGCAGAGCAATATCTGCTCCAGTGATACCATGTCCGAAAAAGTGCCTGCAGGGTCGGTCGTGAGGTCATGATGACAATCTGCTGGATAGCCTTCTTATGATGCCACTTGTCTTGAATCATGCGGTGAAAATCATCATAGTTAACGTGTGGGATGTGGGATTTGTTGCCTGGAAAAAGTTCCTGGAAAGTGGGAATCACACGTTGATGGAGAGTCGTGATGATCTGTTCCGGATCTGTCGATGGGTCAACTGGTTCCTCAACGGCTTGATCAACAGCAGTGGTGAGCGCCTGCCAAGCAGTGGAATCCTGGAGTTGGGCCATCCTGCATTGAGCTCTTTGTGCAAATGTACATGCCTTATTCATGCGGTGGACCTGGTATGCCATGTGAATGCGTTTCACCGAGCAAACTATAGGTACATGATGAGTAGTATTGACTGGCAAGAACTCAGCATGTTTAAGGTAAGCTGGTGTTTTGGCTTGTCCATCACAAGCATGCAATCGCATTATCACAAAGTCGATTCTGGAGGCGACTGAGCCATGGTGGTATGTCGGTCCTGTGGATTCCGTCCAGGTGTTGACTGCTGTCAATGAGTGCATCCGCAGGAAATCCAAAAAGTGGTGCATGTCCTCATGTTGGGATCCACAGGTCCGAAATCCTTGCCAGTGAAAATGTCCTGTGCCCGTCCATGGAGCCACTCCCGGCAGTGCTGTATTGAAATCTCCACTGCAGATGAATTGATTGCGCTGTGGAAGTTGTCCAACATAGTCACTGAGCTTGGCCCACAAGTGTGCTCTCAGTTTGCGGGATTGAGTGGTCTTGTAATCCACGTGCTGGTAGACCGCCAGGATGTCAGTAGCCCGCTTTGCATGATGGATGCGGGCATGTAGAATTCTGCCGTCTTCCAAGGCCAGGAATCCTATTGAGTCTGGTGTTGCCAAGCGCCTGGCAATCATGATCAGCACCCCTCCAGAACGAGGATCATTGGAGGCCGAGTGCACATATGACCATTGGTCGTCTGACCAGCAGGAATTAAAGCTCCACTTCGTCTCCGACAGCACAACAATGTCAATGGGTTGTTGTCGTAGCCAGTACTTCAGCTCCAGAAATGAACTCTGGGAGAGTCCACCAGGGTTCCATTGCATGACCCTGAGCCGATGTTTTTGATCCTTGTAGGAACACCAGTTGTTTGTTTTCTGTGGTGCTGGTGGAGTTGCATCACATTTGTTGATCAATGTCTGGGGAAATTGGTCCACTGTGTATGCTTGTCCTCGAAACCACGCCATACCGTGCTGAAGTGCACGCTTGCATGCCCGTTGAAAACTTCGTTTCTGTATCTTGGTGCAGCGCTTGTTGGGGATCTGCATTGTTGAGCCGGAGCCCATTGTCGGCGGTTGTCCACTGTTTGCGGTCTTTGTCAAAATTGACAACCAATTGATTGCTTCACCTGCGCCTGTGGTTGTGCAGGAACCCTCACCCTCATGGCTGCAAAAGAAATCTGTGATTCTGGTCTGATTGGCAGTCATGCCCGGATTTGGGACCGGGGTGCGATCTTGAGCTATCCAAAATTGGAGTAGCAACCCAATACAAAAGAAAGTTTGCATGTTGTGTCCAGTTGTTGCAATATTGTAGAGCCAAGCCCGCAGGGGCAAAAACTTTGGCCAGCAAGCAGGTAAAGGCTGTCGACACAATGGATAAATAAAAGTCACAACGGTTGAAATTGTCGGGCCAGTAAAATTGAAGCAGGAGCCCACCCTGATTAGATCACCGCGGGGACAGTCAGAAAGGTGGCGCCCCAAACCACTGAAAATACCAAAATTGTTGTTGGACCAGTGCACGGGCGCAGGGAGTCCACCCCTTGTTGTCCAATGGCCGGCGCGCGGGAATCGACAAAAACGTGGGCTGAGCGATGCCGGTCCCCTAGCAACTCCTCGTTGCTTGCTCGCGGTGCTCGTGACCGCACAGGGCTTGTGTGTGTGTGTGTTTGTGTGTGTGTGTTTGTGTGTGTGTACATCTAAAAATATGTTTTACTTATATGTATGTGTGTATACATTAATATGTCTATGTATATCATGGTGAATATGTGGTTTGAACATGGCATTTGTTAACAGGAAAAATGATGACCAGCCGGAATTAATCATGGTCAACATTAATACGGACAATCATTTTGCGGTGATTTTACACCATTGATCATGGGGAATATTCGTCGGATATTCACTCTGTCTTTGTTCCAGTCATCATGGTGGAGGTGTTCAATTGCCAAAGGTGTTTCGTCAAAATATTGCAGAGTGATTGAGCTTGGGCACATTGGAATCATTGTAATTGGTATGACACATACATATCATTGGTATTATTATATTAATGTATCATCATTAGTGATTAACCATGATTAACCAATATTGCTTTGATCTTTTTGTATCACCATGCGGGGTTTCAATATGTCTTGGGAGGGGTCAAGTCGGTGGGGTACCAGATTCCCGCGGTGCCGGGCACGGAGGTCCCATGGTGACGACTGACTGATCACTGGGGGATCATTGTGGGTCACACAAAAAAAATGCCCGGGTTTTCATGATCCACGAATCCACGGGCCCCATATACTGGCTGCCTCCAGGATTTTCTCTTTGACAAATAACTGGGAATGCATGGTAGTGGTCTTGATCTCGATATGCCACAGCTATTCCCACTAGAATTCCGTTGCAAACCCACGGAAGCCATGAAGTGATGTGCAGATGCACTATTGAAAATGCAGACAAAAATACAGGTCTCACTAACGACAATAGGGACATATGATGTGAACGCTCCCTGTATTGAGGATATAGTAGCCGCCACCGCCAGTAGTGGTGATATGGGTATTTCTCGAAATTGGAGTAACCCTTATCACCAGTGTTTGACCAATGACTTAGAAGATTTGGGGTTCCACCATTCGAAGAAACAAAAGAAACTCCCAGGAGGGCGTTAGAAATGGAGATATGAAATGATATGACTACGAATTCAAGTGGGGAATATATATATATATATAGTAATAACATGTAATAACTATAGTGATAACTAATGACTTTGGTTCAGAAACTGTCACCAGGAATTGTCTGCTCGCATCCGCGGGTGGAAAACCAAGCCTTTTCGTGAAGTCATCTATCAGCCAATGTCGATTCCCACAGGGAAGAGAAATTACCAACATGACACAGGAAGGGGCATGCAAACGACAGGCAAGGTTGTTTTATGATGGCGGGGTTGTGTCAAAATTTGCAACCCCCAAATCCTGTGCTTTCTCATCAGTTTCCCATGAAAGTTGCTTGAAAAAATGAGGCCCATCCCCTGAGTTTTGAGACTTTTGAGAGGGCTAAAAACCTCTGACCTCAGCTGCGAAAACCAGTCCTTCTCGGAAGTGTCCGGAGGAATCACCTGCCTCTCTTTCCATTGCCGCCATTCCTGGGGTCGGCCGAATTGGCCCCAAATCCACTGGTTCATTCTACAAGTTTTCTCATTCAATGCACCTTTATGACATTCCTAGCTATTGCTGCGAGCTACATGCCAGGGGTGGCTTCTTTCTTCAAGCTCTGTGGCTAGATGACTAGATTTCCACGCAGAATTGCTCAGAATCCATGCTTAACTTGCTGAAAAAATCATGTTGTGTCTGGCGAATTTCTCCACTTTTCTAGCCATTTCCCACTTGTCTCCCAAAAGTTTCTGACGTTTCCCATCTGTCGTTTCATCTCCAAAATACACAATAATTTGGATAAAATACCATCATTCGCCAACTCCAAAGTGCCATTTGGCGGAGATTCCCCCCGGAACAAAACCATGGTTTCACTGACGCGACGTGAGGTCGTTATCAAATTTATCTAGATTATTGACCATCAATTCGATCAATGTGATATATCCCCGCCCATGAAATATCCCCATACCACCATTGCGTTTGAGGTTCATCCCGATTCATCCTAGCCCTGGGTTTTATATGCCATTATGAAATATAATCCCAGTACCAAATATGTTCGGAAGAGTGATTGCTTTTTGTACCTCACTAGTGAAACCCTCCATAATCCTCATTTGCCACTCCCCGTGAAAAACATCGTGTTTCATTATAAACATTCGAGGATTCATTGATCCATTTACCATCATTTACCCATGTTGGTATCCTCATTTAACTGGTTGGTGGTATACCTACCCCTCTGAAAAATATGAGTTCGTCAGTTGGGATGATGATTATTCCCAACTGAATGGAAAGTCATAAAAAGCCATGGTTCCAAACCACTAACCAGCAACTAAGGGACATATAAAACTGTTTAATGAGGTAAAAATCATCCCATTCACCAAGCCATGTTCAAGTCACCACCAACCAGATTATAATCCCATTAATTATAGATATATCACCAACAAAAACCATAGTTATTGGACTTATAAACCATAGGTAGTGGACCATGTTTTTAATGTTTTTAGTTGACCATCGTGTTTCATCCTAGGATTCAGAAGATTTCCCAGCCATGCCCAACGCATAGCATCCATCTCCAACGCTTCACGCCAGCCCCGAGAGCGGCGCGCCGCCAGGCTGCAGCATGACGATGCCAAAGAGGCTGGCCATGCCGCTGGATGACCTGGAAAAGCTGGGTTGGGAAAAATCTGCGATTCAACCTATTCCAGGATATATGATTTGAAAAGGATATTATATATATATATTATATATATATTATATATATATTATATATATATATATATTCCAAATATATCTGATATATCTGCCAGGATATAGCTGCTGGATATGATGACTTTACAATGTTGGCCGAAGAAAGGAGCAACTAAGCAGGAATGCTTGATAGCATGGAATATAAAAGGATATATATATATATATAGCAGCAATCAATTGGGTGTGTCTGAAAGTGGGGGGAATTCACTGGCTAAAAAATGGAGATTGAACCAGCAAATTTGGGGATCTGCCCGACAAAAACAAAGATTTAGAACACTAACGAACAGGATGTTGAATGGGAATTGTTTATCCAGCAAAATTGGAATGGTTGAGTTGAGTTGTTTGCCAACAAAGTTTTGAGTTTAGCCAAGTGTAGAAATGCAGAAATTTTGAATTGATTGGATTTTGGATTTTGGAACAATAAGAAATCGAATGTCACCGGTGGAAATGGATATTCAGCCGGTAAAATGTGTGGTTCTCACAAAAAATATGGGTCTAATCGAGAAGGATGGGGGGTTAACTAGCCAAGAAATTAAGATTTACCAGTAAAACTTGAGATATACCCAAGGAATTTGCATTTCGTCAACAGTGGTGATGTAAACTGTCAAGTTTGCGGATAGATTTTTTTAACAGGAGGATTTCACTGATCAGAACTGACTCAAAAAGATTGACATATGTACGGGTCTGGGCTTCCGATGGGTTGGTCCAAAAGACGCGCTGCTCTAACGGTACCATTCCAGTAGAGTTGCAGTAGGGGCGTGATCAAATTGATCCAGTTTATCACCATTACCCTCTGGTAAACTAACATAGCTATTCAGAATGGCCATTTATAGTGGATTTTCCCATTAAAAATTGTGATTTTCCATAGCTGTGTTAAATTACCAGAGGGTATATCCCACTTATATCCCATTCTACCACCTTTTCTGTTGGTGAAATCCCCATTTTGGTCACCCATTCATCCCGATTTCAATACCTCCTAGATCATCTTGGTGCAACCTGTCCATCAGGGTTTTCATCGCTTTAAATCTCCCAATTTTGTCTTTGGTGAATCCGAAAATGTTCTTCGGATTTTTATCATCTCCATTTAAGTGCTGGGCAGGTCCTAATGGCGAATTTTTTCTTACCCTCCGGTATAAATGGAGGTTTTAATGGGAAACTAATCTGTACACGTTTGATTACCGGAGGGTAAACATGTTTCAGATCACTTGCGCTCGGGCATCAAAAGCTGGCAATGGAACATCAGCATCTAGAGGTGGCACGCCCAATAGAAATTAAGACCTCTTTCTTATGGTTTTTATACCACCTACGTCTGGTGAAACTGGGGATCTACACCGCAAATGATGTGATGTTCCAGTGCCATGTTTGACCTTTCTGGGCAAAACCCGTTAAATAATCCATTGTCGATACGTAAATCCCCAGGCGCGCTGATTCCATTTTGGTTTGTCTGAAGTCTTCAAAGTTGATAGCTGCCTCATTTTCCTTGTTACAATGGCCCCGCAGCAGAGTTGAATACCCTATTTTCAGACCCCCCCCTTTTGGATATTGTTGGTCCATAATATCCCGATTATATCACCATTTGTCCCCAGATAAATCCCCATTTCTGTATATATATATACATATATATATATATATACAGTATTTATTTAACTGTAAAGTCAGTTGTTCAAAGGAAAATTCCCCGCTGGTATATGGGGGTTTCCATAAATGGGGGTACCCCAAAATGGATGGTTTATAATGGAAAATCCTATTAAAATGGATGATTTAGGGGTACCCCTATTTTAGGAAACCTTCAGATAGATTCCCAGTTCAATTCCCAGGGGAAAAAAAGATTTCGGGTTTGTCCCTTCCCAGGGAAAATTCACCGCCAGGCGACTTGTGAAGGATGCAAGCGGCGCGGCCATGCAGAGGTAGACCGCGCGTGGATCCTGGCGAAACCGGAGATTTTTTTTTCGTGGGAATTTACCATGGAATTCACCAACAAAGATGGGGGATTTAAGTAGGAAAAAATGGGGGATAGAAAAGAAAAATTGAGAAATCATCATCTCAGAATGAATTTTAAGTGATTCTTCATCTGTGGTTAGAGATGTATCATGCAATCACGGGGGATTGATAATCTCAGTTGCAAATGCTGAGATGGACATATTGTGATGTATTTTGCTTCGGAAATCCAATCATGAATTATCTGAATCCCAATTACATGTCCATTTTCAGTGGATGTGCAGCACGGATTTGGGTAAAATCATGACTTGATTTTCGAACATGAAGAGAATGATATGAATATAGAAATAAAGTGTGTATTAAAATTCTGTGTGTGTATGTATGTATGTATGTATGTATGTATGTATGTATGTATGTATGTATGTATGTATGTATGTATGTATGTATGTATGTATGTATGTATGTATGTATGTATGTATGTATGTATGTATGTATGAATGTGTATGTATGTGTATGTATGTGTATGTATATGTATGTGTATGTATGTGTATGTATGTGTATGTATGTGTATGTATGTGTATGTATGTATGTGTATGTATGTGTATGTATGTGTATGTATGGTTATGTATGGTTATGTATGGTTATGTATGGTTATGTATGGTTATGTATGGTTATGTATGGTTATGTATGGTTATGTATGGTTATGTATGGTTGTGTATGGTTATGTATGGTTATGTATGGTTATGTATGGTTATGTATGGTTATGTATGTATGGTTATGTATGTTATGTATGGTTATGTATGGTTATGTATGGTTATGTATGGTTATGTATGGTTATGGTTATGTATGGTTATGTATGGTTATGTATGGTTATGTATGGTTATGTATGGTTATGTATGGTTATGTATGGTTATGTATGGTTATGTATTATGTATGGTTATGTATGGTTATGTATGGTTATGTATGGTTATGTATGGTTATGTATGCTTATGTATGGTTATGTATGGTTATGTATGGTTATGTATGGTTATGTATGGTTATGTATGGTTATGTATGGTTATGTATGGTTATGTATGGTTATGTATGGTTATGTATGGTTATGTATGGTTATGTATGGTTATGTATGGTTATGTATGGTTATGTATGGTTATGTATGGTTATGTTATGTATGGTTATGTATGGTTATGTATGGTTATGTATGGTTATGTATGGTTATGTATGGTTATGTATGGTTATGTATGGTTATGTATGGTTATGTATGGTTATGTATGGTTATGTATGGTATGGTTATGTATGGTTATGTATGGTTATGTATGGTTATGTATGATTATGTATGGTTGTGTATGGTTATGTATGGTTATGTATGGTTATGTATGGTTATGTATGGTTATGTATGGTTATGTATGGTTATGTATGGTTATGTATGGTTATGTAGGGTTATGTAGGGTTATGTAGGGTTATGTAGGGTTATGTAGGGTTATGTAGGGTTTTGTAGGGTTTTGTAGGGTTTTGTAGGGTTTTGTAGGGTTTTGTAGGGTTATGTAGGGTTACGTAGGGTTATGTATGGTTATGTATGGTTATGTATGGTTATGTATGGTTATGTATGGTTATGTATGGTTATGTATGGTTATGTATTGTTATGTATGGTTATGTATGTTATGTATGGTTATGTATGGTTATGTATGGTTATGTATGGTTATGTATGGTTATGTTATGTATGTTATGTATGGTTATGTATGGTTATGTATGGTTATGTATGGTTATGTATGGTTATGTATGGTTATGTATGGTTATGTATGGTTATGTATGGTTATGTATGGTTATGTATGGTTATGTATGGTTATGTATGGTTATGTATGGTTATGTATGGTTATGTTATGTAGGGTTATGTAGGGTTATGTAGGGTTATGTGTAGGGTTACGTAGGGTTTTGTAGGGTTATGTAGGGTTACGTAGGGTTATGTATGGTTATGTATGGTTATGTATGGTTATGTATGGTTATGTATGGTTATGTATGGTTATGTATGGTTATGTATGGTAATGTATGGTAATGTATGGTAATGTATGGTAATGTATGGTAATGTATGGTAATGTATGGTTATGTATGGTAATGTATGGTTATGTATGGCTATGTATGGTTATGTATGGTTATGTATGGTTATGTATGGTTATGTATGGTTATGTATGGTTATGTATGGTTATGTATGGTTATGTATGGTTATGTATGGTTATGTATGGTTATGTATGGTAAGTATGGTAATGTATGGTAATGTATGGTAATGTATGGTAATGTATGGTAATGTATGGTAATGTATGGTAATGTATGGTAATGTATGGTAATGTATGGCAATGTATGGTAATGTATGGTAATGTTTGGTAATGTATGGTAATGTATGGTAATGTATGGTAATGTATGGTTATGTAGGGTTTTGTAGGGTTATGTAGGGTTATGTAGGGTTATGTAGGGTTTTGTAGGGTTACGTAGGGTTTTGTAGGGTTATGTAGGGTTACGTAGGGTTATGTATGGTTATGTATGGTTATGTATCGTTATGTATGGTTATGTATGGTTATGTATGGTTATGTATGGTTATGTATGGTTATGTATGGTAATGTATGGTAATGTATGGTAATTTAATGTTATGTAATGTAATGTAAATGTAATGTAAATGTAATGTAATGTATGTATATAAATAATTATATATACATATTGCTGGATGAATTATGTTATATAATTCACCAAACCTGAATTAAGGCTGTTTTGGGATAGTTACCCCTACTAGTGACGCCGCAGTGAAGTCTTTCGAACTCATCCACTTCCGCCAGGGTTTCGCGAGGGTTCATGACTTAAAGGATACCCAATATCACAATAAAAACTCTGTACATATAGAAATGTGTGTGTCAGTGTCAGTGTGTGTATATCATATCTCCAGTTGTATAGATTGTATCCCATCTATCCCATCTTATGGACTACTAGTAGTTTGATCTTGTAACAATTTCAGAACGTTCTTTCAACATCTTTCAACACGATGATCAGCACCACAGCGAGTTGCCCATGTTCCAACTTCCAATTGGGGGTCAAAATTGGCTTGCCAATCAACTGGCTTCAAAAATCGGTCATGTCTAGTCCGTTTTGGAGTGCTAAACATGAGGATGAAAAGACATGGGATTCTGCGAAAATATGGTGGCAATTGCCAATTGCTAATGTCAACCCCAGATTTTCACCCTGGTCGATTAAGGATCCACAGTACCCAAAATGGTGAATCCTGCGACTAAAATGGTACCACCAATGATCACCAGCCAAGGGGTGTTGGATGGTTGGTAAGTTCAATCCCCCCAATTATAGTTGACTAAAATTGTAGGCCATTAAATTGACATTTCCAAATTAAAATCCCCATTGCATTCTCGTTTAAATCCCTGTTCATTGTTGCTGAAATCCCAAAAAAAAATCCCCACTAACTTGCCAGTTCCCATTGAAAAAATGGTGAATTTCCCCTAAAATCCCCCACTAAATTGCCATTTCCTCATGGAAAATATCTGTTCCTCCAATGGCACCTCCGGTTGCTGCATGGTCCGCAAGGTGCTCAAGCGCAGCAATGCTTGCGGATCCAGTTCCTGGCTCTGCTTCACTAAGTTGGTTCGCAAAGTGTTATGAGATTTTTTACTAGCCAGAGGCCAAGATTTGGGATTTTAATTGCTTCGTGTTTTTTTCCTGTTTTTGTCCTGTTCCGTGTTCTTGTTTTTTTCCTGATTTTTTTCATGTTCCTTTTCACTGTTTCTGGAAAAGGTGTTTTTTGTGTTGCCTTTGTTTCCTTCTTGTTGCCATGCCTTGTCTGATGTGTTGCCACATTTCTCCAACCCACGTTTTCCAATATTGCGACTAATGTCTGCAAAGCATTCTTGCAAGAGTACGGGACATTCGATTTCGGGGCCTCTGGTCCAAACAGGACCCCAACCCGGAACACAGAAGGGAAAGCGACCACAAAAAAAAAGGAAAAAAATGGAAAACGGAACAGGTAAAAAACAGGGGAAAAAACAGGACCTCTTCAGAGCAGCCCCAAACAACGACTGAAATCTGGAAAAACGAGAAAAACCGAGCTTTTGGTGTTTTTTACCCATTTTTTTTACCTGTTGTTTACCTGTTTTTTTTCCTATGTTGTTCCTGTGTTTTTCCTGTTCTTTTCCTGTTTTTTCCTGTTGTTTTTGTTGTTCTTTTCTCCTCTTCCTAGGGGCTGCTGTTTCTGTGCGAGGCGTCCTTGGCGACCCAAATCTTTGATGCAATTTCTTATGGCCCTGGGAAATTGGATTTGAGCCGCTCTATGTGTAAAAAGAATGGAATTCAATTCTTTCTTCTAAGTGATCCCTATCCTGCTGGAACTAAGAGATAGTGAAGAGGCAAAAACAAAACGAACACAAACAAGAAAAGCACAATGAAACAAACAACACTTACAAGAACAAACAAACCAAAGAAAAACAGCAACATTAAAAATAAATGCGAGAAAAAGAAAAAATGAAAAAAAAAAAGGAAACACGTGCAAAATCGGATTACCAAAAAAACCGGGAGAAAAGCAAACAATAGCAATTTCTCGCACATGCTCTGTGGCTCAGAAAATCTCATAAGCAAAGTGCAAAGTTCACCCACATTTCACTAGGCTGTATGATATTCATGTAGATATGATATTTCGAAATAATAAATAGAACAAAAAAAGGTATCACGAGACATTACGAGACCATGTCTCAAACCCAGCCCAATGAACTTGGATGGGCAACCACTAATGTGCAGCTAAAACCCATGAAAATATGTGGGGTCTGGGTCCGTTCTTCCACAGGGGATTTTTCCATCCTGCGAATCTGAGATGTCAGAACTTTCGATGGACATCTCGCAATATTCGGACATATTCGAAGTAAGTCGACTTTCCCATTAAACAAGCATCATCTTTTCCGGTACCATGTTTTCGAAATTTTGGTGCAGAAATCTCCGCCGAAAATCAGTGACTCAAGATCCTGAATGTCAGCATCTTCTCGAGTGATGCAGGAAGAGAATGGTACCCTCAACAAGACGCATCCTGCACGGCTGGTCGTGGCCCCAATGGGCGGCTCTGGGAGGCTCTGAATAATTGGACCCAAAACAGACCCCTTAAAACCATCATGGAAATCAACCAAAGCATTGTCTGGAAGATGACGTTGCTGTCTAATTTTTACGATTTTTTACGTCTGTAGAATTTTGACTAAAACGAACCATAAGCTGGATGACTCATCTGCGCCCCGGCAGTGCACTTCCGGGAATTATACTGCTCACCCTCAGAAACCAACGGCCTTCTGCGTGCAAAATGTAAAATGGACCGTTTCTCCATTAATGATGGATGGTTGAGGTTATATATGTCTAGAAACATCCAAACCACTGATGGGCGGTTTCAAATACTCCCGTTACTAGGTTCGGGTATCGTCATCCCAATTCTGAAAATAGGTTTGTCTGAAATATGGTACCAAATCCCATGGGTTTAGGATCATTTTCCCCAAATACGCAACATCCAACCAGCCAAGGCCCACTCCTTCTGCGCAGGCTTTGCTGCTGTGCAAACCGAATCCCTTCTCCTCGGCAAAGCTCCCGGGAATTGGATCTGGTTTGCTGGGTATCTCTCGGGTCTGAATGCTTTTCTGTGTGTTTCCAAACAAAAATCCAAAGATATCTTTGGCAAACGAAAAAAAAACGGGACGGAATTTTGGAATCTCCGGCTTTGTTTGAAGAGTTTTTTTTGTGTCTGAACAGAAACACAGCTTCGCTAGTTACTCAAACAAATCTACGGCAGACTTGGTGTACGGTATACGGTATCAGCTGTGGAGAGAGACCATGGCAAATACACCAAGTCTGAATTGGTTCCCTCAAGGGAATCCCCATGTTCAACAAATAGTTGGGGGTGGAGTTGGGCTTGTTTAAATGACCCTAATATGAAAAAGATGGTAATTACCTCCATAATTTAGGACATAACCCCTTAGTTATGCCCTATAACATCCTATAACTGCGTTTACATATCCAATTATAAATGGAACTGCACCAAAGTAGATCTACGAATGGCTGAGATTGACCATGGAGACTGTTTTGAGGACCTTCACCAATGTCAAATAAATGGCATTCCCAAAATTGGAGAGTTACCCTAATATAAAATAGATAGGGTAGGAAAGATGATATCTATATATATATGATGATATATAAAATGGGAAAGTTATCAACAAGTAAAATGGATAATAAATTGACATGTGTCAATTGTATTCAAGTGTCACATGGAAAGTACAAGAAAATATTTGTATATTGGGTGATGTGCTTGCCAGTCCTGCGTGATTCTTCCCACAAAAGTCGCTAGATGATGCCTCCATTGTACGGATGTGCTGTTGCGCTGCCCATGTCCAAAGGACATCCAAGTAATTTTGCCGATCACCATATAATGTTATTTCATGGGTTGCTGGTAAAAAGCTCAATGTTTCTTGGTTAACATTGACTTTTATACTCCGGTGGCTAAACATGGAAACGGACAAACTCCCCACCTTCAATAAATGGCTGATGTTCCATGGCTATGTTTCATTCCCAGAAGTTATTTATTCAGCTTAAAACCGGTAGGTTTAAGTTCGAAATGCGTCAACTGTACAAAGGGTTTTCAGATCATCTATAGACATCCTGGGAAACATCCTGCTATCTGAGGAGGCTGCCAACAATTCATCCTCACCTCTTGATTCTCCTTTCAGGTGAGCAGGAAGCTGCTTCCAATCCCAAAGATCTAACTGGGGGAAAAAGAAAGAAACCCTTGCATTCTTTCGCAGGCTTACATGCATACATGATGATTATCATTTAGTGCTAATTAATATCAAATACATCTTACCACCTAGTGATTTTTGGATATGTTTACATATATATATATGGATATATAACCTCTATCTTCTATAGCGAGTTTGATATTCGATTCGTCTCCCACAAAAATCGCCGAGCATCTGATGAGCTTCGGACTTCCACCAAGTCAGAGAATGCTAACACGAAGGAACTCAGATATTCAAGGCCTCAAGTTCCAAGTGTCCAGGGACGACGTGACGACAACCACCACAACGTCAAAAACGCTGTACGCAAATGTTTGGGTGATAGAATGGCATATACGAATGTATAGGCATATGTATGCGTCGATGAAATAGATGTATAGTTACATATGTGTGGATGTTATTGATGAATTTAGTCATCTAGTTTGGTTGTTCATTTGGTTGTTCATGGTTTTGCTACGTGTGCGTTTGCGTGTGTGGTATGAAGATCTGACATTACTCAGGGGTCAGTTCTCCTCTCATCGATCTGTTTCAGGTGGCTTCCCCTGAAACCTCAGGTCGGAGATGCCTACTTCATTGATTAATCTATATATAAGATATATATTAATATATATATTAATCTATATATAAGATATATATATATATAAGATATATATATATTACTTCAACTTCATATATATATATATTAATATATATTAATATATTAATCTCCTCTCTGTTTCTGGCTGAACGGACCACGGACCGATCCACTTGTCTTGCTTCCCCGCTGGGTGAGAGCCCAACTTTGGTTGTTTGTTTAAGCGCACCTTTTTGTTGGATCAAGTAGTGAAATCCTTGCCGGTCGGAAGTGACCATCGGTGCCGAGGTGCGTTCTGCAGTGTCCATGGCAACGGCATGCTGCAAAAGGCTCCAGTACTGAATTCCGCACGGCTCATGCGTATGTCCACAGCTGCGTCGTCGTGTTCAGTTGTTCTTGACGAAGGCCCAACAATTCTCCAGGATGGTTATGTTTCATGTTGATAACAGTGCCATCCTCCAGTCTCCTTGTAGAAACGCAGCCGCTTAGATGCTCAGCAACTTTCTGAGCCCAAGGTGGTTATAGAAGCCGGGAAGCTTCTCCACATTTGAAATACCAAGGATTCCGTGTACTACTTTTCTGGCATCCCATAACCCCCATGAGCCAAACTCAGTGTGTAACTCCTAAACAAACCGCCTGCACAGTGCATCTCTCTTGACAAACAATGTGTTTTAATTGATTTCATATGTATAAAGTCTGTATAAAGTCTTCCGCAGTTGTACCTTTTTCAAGATGGAGGCATTGTGGTCTTCAAATCCTGCGAATTCAGAGCACCAAAATCCAATGGTTTCAACTGCCCGGTTGAAATTACCAGTTGTAGGTTACCAAGGATGTCATTGGACTTACCCCACGTGTTTTCCCAACAGCAGATTCGCCTGCATAGTGGAAGCCTGTAGGGCACGCCAGCCGCCTGTCATTGAAAACTGCCCCCAGCTGTCCTCAGCTGACTTGTTGAACACTTTGCTATGTAAGATCCCTATTTTCGAATAGGTCATTCATGGTAAATCATTTACTTTCACCGGCCATGTTTAATAGCTATGATTACCAGAGGGATCCAGAGGGTATGGTAAAACAAACTTAGAGAGTTCACGAAAACTTGGGATGCCCAGCGAGGATTGTTTTTCCACGTCCACCGGGAGATCGAATCAACAAAATCACGACACATCCCCCATTTCCATCAGTTTCTTCACCAAAAAAATCCAACATTTTGGGACTAGTCGGACTATGATCCATGAAGAAATCCTGCAGCGGCAGCGAATTTTGAGCATCGCAGCATCCCCATCTCTCGGTCCTCTCCCATCCCTTGAAATCCACTGAAAAGCGAGGTGAGAAGCTCCACCTTCCACCTTCCCGGGAGGCGCGCCGCTCTTGGCCTCTCTTGCTGCGGCCCAACAAGTTCCACCAGAAAAAATAGATGCGACAAAAACCGCCCACATCCCACAAAAACCTCGGAATGCGAATCGGTTTTCATGATTCTCGCATCATTATCCCAAGATCATTGACATGTTGACATGGTTTCCGAGTTTTTGTCCTATCCTTTTCTCCTTTTCCCATGTGTTCCTATCGTTTTCCCATGTTTTTCCATGTGAATCCCAAGGTTTGGGGTTCCCCCAGGAGCCAGGAGCGGTGTTTCCTGAGTCGCCAAGTAGGCGCTGGGCAGCACCAGGGCGGTTCCTTTGGCCACTCGCAGGACGCCGGCCTCGAAAGCCATGGGTTTCACCATGGCAGCCATGGGGTAGAAAAAACATCGAAAAACATGGTAGGGAAATAATGATAGGTAGTAGGTAACAATATGATATACCATGGTAATATGATGCTAGTAGATTTAAAAAATAAGCCGACGTAGATCCCCAACAGCGGTTGGTTTCAAACAGTGGTCCAACTTTGCAACCCAAGACGGATTAATGATGGCAGGAACAGGATTCCATAGCCTAAGTCTCTTCGGCGATTTTTTGCCCGCCCTGCCCCGTCCCCTTTTGGACCAAAGGCAAGATGAGACATGTTCTTTAAGAAAGCGCGCATAATTGAATTTACATACATTTGGTTACAAACGAATGGCAGTATTTGCAGACCACGGTGTGTCATTAAGTGTTTACAAAATTGTGTGTGTGTGTGGTTTGGGATTATCTTGTCGTGCTTGGACAACGTCGGTCAGTTTGCGCAAGTGATTGGTGAAACAGTTGGTTTTGGCCAAATTGTCCATCATGATTCCAGAATTAGTTTCATGTCAATACTTGGTTGTTGTGTCACAACTGTGTCTGAAGTTTCATTGTGTGTTGCTGTTTGGTCACTTAGCTTTAAAAAAATCATCTACCTGGCTTCGAGAAGCCTCACACAGGTTTGCTGCCAATATTTAGGTGTTCCAAGGCATCGAACTTAATTGCTTGATGTGGCATGTGCTTTGGTAGATGCGACATCGGAACAGTTCAAACAGAAGATTTTACAGCAACATCAGAACAGGTCAGTCGACCGACGCTGTGCGCCCACTGAGCAAACGAACATGAATCGGCATGTGCGGAACCCGCCACAAAGCACCCAAGATTGGCTGGGGGATTTCCGGAATCCCTTGTGTTCCTGGAACCTTGTCTTCCTGGAACCCTCGTTTCCGGAACCTTGGCACAACCCACAGCGTATATTGGAACCCTGGGTTTGCGGAACCGAGACGCGCTGATTTATTGTCACGCTGTGCCCCCCCCTGTCAGCGATTGCTCGTTGACAGGGCCTATATGGTCCTGGAACCTTGGTTTCCTTGAAAATTGGTTTTCTGGGACCCTGTCCGTAGCATGAACCTTGGTACAACCCACGGCGTATATCCGACCCCTGGGTTGTTTCCGGAACCTCGGAACCTTGCCAGAACCCTGGTTCTCTGGAACCTGGGCTGGGCTTCTTGAAAATTGTTGTTCCGCAACCTTGTCCCTGTCCGGAACCTGTGGCATAATCCAGGAAGTATATCCAAACTGTGGGTCCGCATCCGCGGTGGTTCTCGGAACCTTGTCGGAACCCAGTGTTGCTGGAACCTTGCCGGAACCCTCGTTCCCCAAACTCTGGGTTTCCAGGATGTTTCAAAATTGGTGTTCCGGTGATTCCAGAACCGCTCGAAACCATGGTAAGGTTCCCGGAACCTTGTCGAAAGCCAAGTGTGCCCGGAACCTTCCTGGCGCCGAGAACCTGGGGATCCCGGAACCTTGACGTCCCGGAACCCAAAAGGTAGCCAGAACCCATTGTTCCCAGAACCTTGCTTGAAAGTCTGGTTTGCGGAACCTGGAACCTTGCCCCGAACCCTGGTTCCCGGAACCCTGAGTTCCGGAACCTTGCCCGGAACCCTGGTTCCCGGAACCGGCAGCGGTTGGTTTCAAACAGTGGTCCAACTTTGCAACCCAAGACGGATTAATGATGGCAGGAACAGGATTCCATAGCCTAAGTCTCTTCGGCGATTTTTTGCCCGCCTTGCCCCCTCCCCTTTTGGACCAAAGGCAGGATGAGACATGTTCTTTAAGAAAGCGCGCATAGTTGAATTTACATACATTTGGTTACAAACGAATGGCAGTATTTGCAGACCACGGTGTGTCATTAAGTGTTTACAAAATTGTGTGTGTGTGTGGTTTGGGATTATCTTGTCGTGCTTGGACAACATCGGTCAGTTTGCGCAAGTGATTGGTGAAACAGTTGGTTTTGGCCAAATTGTCCATCATGATTCCAGAATTAGTTTCATGTCAATACTTGGTTGTTGTGTCACAACTGTGTCTGAAGTTTCATTGTGTGTTGCTGTTTGGTCACTTAGCTTCAAAAAATCATCTACCTGGCTTCGAGAAGCCTCACACAGGTTTGCTGCCAATATTTAGGTGTTCCAAGGCATCGAACTTAATTGCTTGATGTGGCATGTGCTTTGGTAGATGCGACATCGGAACAGTTCAAACAGAAGATTTTACAGCAACATCAGAACAGGTCAGTCGACCGACGCTGTGCGCCCACTGAGCAAACGAACATGAATTCGGAATTCAGTGAGGGGCCACAAAGCACCCAAGATTGGCTGGGGGATTTCCGGAATCCCTTGTGTTCCTGGAACCTTGTGTCCCTGGAACCTTGTCTTCCTGGAACCCTCGTTTCCGGAACCTTGGCGCAACCCACAGCGTATATTGGAACCCTGGGTTTCCGGAACCGAGACGCGCTGATTTATTGTCACGCTGTCCCCCCCCCTGTCAGCGATTGCTCGTTGACCGGGCCCTTTTGGTCCTGGAACCTTGGTTTCCTTGCAAATTGGTTTTCTGGGACCCTGTCCGTAGCATGAACCTTGGTACAACCCACGGCGTATATCCGACCCCTGGGTTGTTTCCGGAACCTCGGAACCTTGCCAGAACTCTGACCTTGTCCCTGTCCGGAACCTGTGGCATAATCCAGGAAGTATATCCAAACTGTGGGTCCGCATCTGTGGTGGTTCTCGGAACCTTGTCGGAACCCAGTGTTGCTGGAACCTTGCCAGAATCCTGGTTCCCCAAACTCTGGGTTTGCAGGATGTCTCAAAATTGGTGTTCCGGTGATTCCAGAACTTTGGCACAATCCAGGCTCTGGCTGCTCGAAACCATGGTAAGGTTCCCGGAACCTTGTCGAAAGCCAAGTGTGCCCGGAACCTTCCCGGAACCTTGACGTCCCGGAACCCAAAAGGTAGCCAGAACCCATTGTTCCCAGAACCTTGCTTGAAAGTCTGGTTTGCGGAACCTTGGGTTCCTGGAACCTTGCCCCGAACCCTGGTTCCCGGAACCCTGGGTTCCCGGAACCTTGCCCCGAACCCTGGTTCCCGGAACCGGTTCTCGGAACCCTGGTTCCCGGAACCGGCGAAACGAGGCGGCAGGGTCGAGCAGTGCCCCGGAGCACCCCGAAGGCTATGTGGGCTGAGACCCCAAAGCATTCTGCTGTTGGGGAAAAAATGAAAATTATTTTATGATGATTTCATGGAGGTTAATGGGGATGCATGAGGTTTCACCAACCCAAAACTTCAATCATTGGCCATGTCAGGAACCGATTTATTGGAAGTACCTACCTGTTGTTTTTAGTCTATTTGTTGGTGCTAAATTTGGGGAGATACCCACAAATATGGTTTTAAAAGATGTATTTTAGGGTCCTGAAAAATTCCGATTGAACATGGGACAACTTCGGATTTGGGACTATGTCTAGTAACTTTGTTGTACTAAAATGTCATCAAACCTCAGTGTTTATCAGATTTGGGGCTTTTTTTTATAGCAAGAAACCTGCAGATTCTGGGCGTGTATTCACGCGGCGGAAACTCATGGCCACCAACAGTGCGAACCCC